GGTCTCCAAGGAAGAAAAAAGCACAAAGACTGGTTCATAAAACTAACATTGTAGCTATAGGTAAAAATGAATAAACCTTAGATTTTCTACATAGCATATCCTTTGCATTTTTATAGTTGGAGATATAGTGTTCATATTCAGAAAATTCAAGCACAAAAAGTGAAAAGTTTTTGACACCATTTTTCTTATCCCCTTAAGAAATTTCTGCTGAAAAATAATGTTTTTCTTTTTTTATATATATGCCAAAAAAAATAATTTGATGTGTATCAATTGAAACTTTTCAAACAGATTGCGGATCTTGTGTGTATTATATGAAATCAGTATCCCAGAATTTAAAGCGAGGCTCGTGTTACTTTTTAAACCTAACTATATATCCTAGCTGCTTGTATTGTTGAAGTTTAAAATCAAGTCTTTTGATTAACATTTGCTGTTGGGCTGCGGCTGTCACTCAGTGTGTAGAGCACTTACCTAGCTGGCTTGAGGCTCTTGGTTCGATCCTCAGCACCACATAAAAATAAACAAATAAAATAAAGGCATGTTGTCCATCTACAACTACAAAACAAACAATGAACATCAACAAGACCTTTGCTGTTAGCAGCAAATCCAGTGATTATTTTTAACGAATTAAAATTCATCGGGTGCCTACCTTGGAACCAAATTATATACTAAGTGCTGTATTACTATATTTCGAATAGTAGATGCTTTATAAGTGCTTCTTAAACTTTGATTCCAGAATATTCCATTCCAAAAGAAGTGCCCTTTTGGTTTGGTTTTGTGTTGGGATTTTTTTTTTTTTAAGTCTTAAAGCCATTCTTGAAGAAATGAGGAAAGTGAAGAGAGATAAATCACTCCCTAATTGGAAAGGGCAGACAAAGAAAATCACCCCAGTGTGAAGCTCTCACCAAAAGGAGTCTGAGCTTCAAAGTGAAACAAAGATCCTCCCATTCAGAAGTTAAGAGCCGATCATTAAAGACCTCAATTAGAGGCCTTTGTCCTTGCTGTGTGCTGGGAGAGACTTGGGGGAAAAATACAATCCACCTCCTCGAGGGTCAGTGCCACATCGTGCCATTGAAACTCCTCTGAGCCATTTGCTCTTTAGGGTGCTCCTGTTAATTGAGGAAAGGAGACTGCTTCTGAATACTTGGGGGGGGGGACGTGCATTGGAAAAGTGAAAGGGACACAAAGCAGAGAAAATCCCCACCCAATCTCAGTGCAAAAGCTTGTTCAGAGAACTTCAGAGCAGAGGGCTTATTTTGTATAAGGTGGAAGTGGTTCCTTCTGGCTCCGGCCCTGCCAGCTAGAAGATGTGTTATCAGGACCCATGGTTTCATGTTTCACAAGGATCTTGAGGGGAACAGTCCCTCCTCACTGGGAATCCTCTTTTTCTCAGTTGGATGAGCCTTTAGAATACATAGTAAGCTCCATTTTTAGGGTCCCATACATGTGTCTCCTAGGGACACTGGATTGTTCTATTTAGCATTTTAACGTATCAATGCGATTTAAGAATGTATTTAGTTAGTATCTGGAAATTTTATGCCATGTTTTCAGGATTCTCCCCCTGCCTTGAAATCAAAAAAAGTCATAGAAGATACATAGTGCAGGTGCAGCTCGGGAAGCTGAGGCAGGAGGATTGTGAGTTCAAAGCCAGCCTCCACAAAAGCAAGGCCCTAAGAAACTCAGGGAGACCCTGTCTCTAAATAAAATACAAAATAGGGCTGGGGATGGGGCTCAGTGGTCGAGTGACCCTCAGTTCAATTCATGGTACAGCAAAAAGAAAAAAAAAAGATAAGAAAAGTAGCTTTCCCCAAGTTTGGGTTGAACTACAGGTGGAGGCCTGATATTTGTCTTAAAATGCTTGCTTGCTTTTTTGTTTGTTTGTCGTTAATGGTATAGGGGATTGAACTTAGGGCTGCTTAACCACTGAGCTACGTCTTCAGCCCTTTTTTAACATTTTAGTTAGAGACAGGGTCTCACTAAATTACTTAAGGCCTTGCTAAGTCACTGAGCCTAGCTTTGAACTTGGGCTCCTCCTGCCTCAGCCTCCGGAGCATCTGGGATCACAGGTGGGACACCGTGCCTGACTTTTTAACTCTCCATTTGACCCACCCTGTACATAACAAGATGCCCACATGTCTTGGTTTGTAAAATTAATCCCACTTTATGTCTGTTCCCCTGGGGAAATTATTAATAGCTCTCATTTTCACTCCTGTGAAAGTGTCCTGGATTGGACAATTAATTATGCGGGTTTCCTGACATAAGAAACACATGAAAGAGTAAAATCTAAACTGGGCCCACCAGAAAATGTAAAAGTTAGAACATCAAAATAAGACCAAGTGTCAGAGCTAGAAGATGTATTATCAGGCTGCTGGGCCCTTTGGTTGTTACTTTGTGTTCAAAATTTGGCCCTGAGCTTCCTGGTAGCCTAAATAAAACAGGTAATAGAATTGCTCCAGTCTGTCAAAATAGAAAAAAAAAAAAAAATTGTGCCAATTCTCTAGGTAAAGCAAAGAACTTTCCTTTTCCAGTGCTACTATTTTACTTTTAAATTAAGAGACTGATGGAAATAATAATAAACTCAGATATGAGAAAAGGGATCGTGAACTACATATTCCTGCTAGATATAGCAACTGTGATGAAATCTTACTTAAAGGTAGAATACACCTGTGATGATCTTTGCAAAAATCCCTTCTTAACTTTGGCCAGTCATCATCCCAAACTTCCTCTCTGTTTACAGGTCATGGTTGTGTAATGTGCCAGAGGAAAGATCTAACTTGGCTGTACAAGATAACAATGACTCTAGCAATTTCCTTCAGTCCTTCCCACCTATCTCTGGCATGCAATATCTTTAAAGGATCTTAATAGTTAGAAAATGTGGTGGATATTATTTTTAAAGCTGAATTTTCTATAATTTGGGGGTTTTGTCTACATGGAAACATTACCCTCCTATCCAGTTAAATTATTAAATTATAAATTTATTTTTTCCATGCTGAAAGGTAAGTTCAGCTGGCTGAAGCTTTCGCTAGCACACAGTGCCATGCAAATTCAGCAGAAACCACATTGTCTAAGAAGAAATGCCATATAGTTCAGAAGGGCACATTTACATTCATTAAAGTCATATGAAGGCTGGGTGTGGTGGTACGTGCCTGTAATTCCAGTGGCTCGGGAGGCTGAGGGAGGAGGATCACAAGTTCAAAGCTGCCTCAGCAACTTAGCAAGGCCCTAAGCAATTCAGCAAGACCTTGTCTTAAATGAAATATTAGAAAAGGGCTGGGGATGTGGCTCCCTTCACTCCTGCCTACCTAAAGAACCTCTGTTTTCCCTAGCCTGCCCCCCTTACTGTGAATTAGCATCTGCTATCAGAGAAACATTCAGCCTTTGGTTTTTTGAGACTGACTCATTTCATTTAGCATGATAATCTCCAGTTCCATCCATTTACCAGCAAATTTCATTCTTCTTTAAGACTGAGTAATATTCCATTGTGTATATAGACCACATTTTATTTGTCCATTCATCTGTGGAAGGGCACCTAGGTTGGTTCCATAGCTTAGCTAATTTAAAGCAATTTCTTTAAAATGATAATCAGGCTGAGACCATGAGCCATGCGGCATGCCAAATTTGGTTCATGGACCATATTTTGCCATACCCTGTAATAGCTAAGTGTTTATTAAACACGGTATGCAAAGCCATGTTCAAGTGCTTTGAATGTAATGGTGAAGTTAACCCTCCCTACAGCCCCACGGAGTAGATGGTGGGTGTTTTCTCCCTTTTACGGACTGAGAAGCTGAGGCTTAGCGGGGTGAACCCGCTGGCCTGAGATGGTATGTTGTTAATGCAGGCCTGGGATTCAGACCCTCTGTTTCTAGAACCCGTGGAAATAGCCCCTAGCAGGGCTTCCTCTTACAGATAGTGGTTCTTAGATGTTGTTTATCTTAAAATGTTTTAATAGAAATAAATCTTAGCTTGCTATTTCCTCATACTCCAAATAAGCAAAGTTGGAAACTACTAATAAATTTCAAGAATCAGCCAAAACGGTACATAAGAGAACAACAACAACAACAACAAAAATCTGCTTAAAAATGTTGTTTTCAAAGGGGAAAGAAATACGAGATACTTTGGGGCAATTAATAATCATTCTACCACAGTCAATTGGAACATTAAGAGACTTTCCATATAGTTCCTACCTTAGGAAAACTTGAAGGGGGTCCTCTTTAGTACATTTAGAACAGGTTTTACCTGAACAGGTACGTGGGCCTAATGAGTTATTCATGTGTAATTCGTGATATTCTATGCATGAGGTGGAGGTGGTTTGCTACTTACAGAAAGGGTCTGGTATCCAGGAAACCAAGCCTGCATCTCTAAGTGGCTATAAAACCAAAAAGCCAAGACTCAACAGTTTCTGGGGAGCATAACAGAAAGAGCACAGAGCAAAATCCTGGACAACTTGGATTCTAGTCCTGACTCTGCTCCTCTATTGGCTGTGTGACCTTGGGCAAAGTACTTAACTTCTCTGAACCTCCTGTCTCTTGGTTTAAAAGTACATTTATTGCCTACCCTTGGGCAATAAATGAAAGTCAAGTGCATACTACAGATTCAAAGCACATGGACTTAGTTGTATTGAACAGGGAAACAGTCAGACATAGACACTGCTGAGTGACATTGCAGTTTGTATTCTTAGATTTCGCTTTTTCATGATAAATAATGGCAAATATTCATCCGACTCCTGGTAAGCTCCTCAGATTCATCCAGAAGCCTCACATTTCTTTCACATAAAGATGGAGCCCCAAGACTCCAAGCTTTTAACTGTGCTCTCTCCTTACTTTACAATCTTTGATCTAAGGAGCACATTTATAGCAGTGTGAGGCCAGGCTTCCCCCAGGGGCCCTTCCTGAGTCCTGGCCACTCTTCAGGAGCATTGAGTTGCCCTTCCATGTCCAGAGTTGGTACTCAAACCGACTGCTGGCTCAACTCAGATTAGACTGGGCAATGTTGACACATGATGTCACAGTAGCTAACATTTTCCATCATCCATTAGCAACATTCATTTCAAAGGAAGGGGTAAATCGAGGTTCAGAGAGGTTGAGTTCTTAGTCTAAAGCTACACAGTGAGGGCAGGGTGAGACTGGAACCCAGGTCCCTGCTCCAGCACTCTGGCTGTGTCTCATTCCACGTTTTATGTCTGTGGAGCTATTTCCCGTATCCTAGAAGCCCGGTTTGGGAAAACAAAACAAAACCAAGCAAAGCACTCTTACAGTCAGGATCACTCTCTCAAATTCAATGTTTATAAAAAACAAAGGTAAAAATTTTTCAGTTCCGGCGTGTCCCAGGGTAGCTGTTCCGGCCCTGGTGGGTGACCCCAGTGTCCCACGATTCCGTGATCTCCCCCTTTTCCGTGGTGAATTTGGCCAGCTGCTGGCTGCTGGTGTGTCCTCCGGGGAAAGCGCAGGTGCAGGACTGCAGGCCGAGGGTCAATTTGTGCTGTGGTGTTGACCATGGCTTCACAGTCCCACGAAGGTGATGAAGCAGTATGTCCTCCTCTTGTATGAGTCAGTCCACAAGGGGACACGTGCCTTTTCTTCCATTTTATTGTAAAACAAACCAACCAAACCAACAGTGGTTGGGAAACAGGGAGGGGAGTTGCCGGAGGAGTGGAGGTGGAAGAGCCAACAGCCCATTTCACAGATGTCAATGCCGAGTCTTGCCAGAGTTGCCCAGATGGGCCTCCATGGTCTATGTGAAACTAATGCCGGCATCTTTAATAGAGAGCAGAATGCAAACCCAGAATCTGGAGCCCCTGGCCTCCCCTGGGTCATCTGTCACCACCAGTTTGCTTCCCTCCATCACAGGAAGTCATGAATGAGATAGAGATGTACAGAGAAACCCATTGTGTGTGCGTGTTTATACTTTCTCAGGCCCAAAAACGGTGGCAAGTACTGCGTGGGGCGCAGAATGAAGTTCAAGTCCTGCAACACGGAGCCCTGCCTCAAGCAGAAGCGAGACTTCCGCGATGAGCAGTGTGCGCACTTTGACGGGAAGCATTTTAACATCAACGGTCTGCACTCTAATGTGCGCTGGGTCCCCAAGTACAGCGGAAGTAAGTGCCTGCGGGTAAGGGCCCCGGGAGGGGACGGCGGGCTGGCCCTGGGTCCAGGTGCGCACATGTCCCATGGAATGACGTCTCCCCTGCAGTTCTGATGAAGGACCGCTGCAAGCTATTCTGCAGAGTGGCCGGGAGCACCGCCTACTACCAGCTCCGGGACAGAGTAATCGATGGAACGCCTTGTGGCCAGGACACCAATGACATCTGTGTCCAAGGCCTTTGCAGGGTGAGTCACAGATGGCCTTCTCTTCATGGTGCTGTGGATTGTGGTTTGTGGCTTCCTTGATAGAACAGCACGCAGTCCTGAGCAAGGCTTCTCAAAGTGTGGTACCTGGACCAGCATGAGCGGCGGCCAGTATCATCTGATTCTGACCCGAGCTCTGTCATAATTTAAGAACCACTGCCCTGGGTTTTTCCTGACTGTTTTAGCCTCTATGGGGGCCCCCAGATCTCCCCTGAAGGTTTATTATGCTAATTTACGCTCCTTTAGTGTGACCTGAGTCCAAGGTTAAACCCAAATGCTCTCTGACAGCATTTCCTAGAGTGAATAGCTGTGTTCCAGAAAGATGTCAGGAGAAGAGCTGGCCTCGCTCAGATTCCTCTTTGTGATTTAAACCCTAATTGCTTCCACCTGAGACGTGCCTGTTAATTATTCTTGGAAGATAAATTGAGAAACTTCTGGCAGACAGCAAAGTCTCTGTGACTTGCTGAGTGCTTGGTACCTCTTCACAGTTCTCGCTGACCAGAAACTAGTGCTAACTGTGCCAGGTTCATTCAGGTGATGTGTTTCTCCCTGAGTGTAGTCCAGATGCAGATGACAGTTCCTGGGGACAAGGATTTGATGCACAGAGCCCCTACGAACCTCACCCCTTCCCAGCCTGCACCTGCAGGGCAGGTCCCCTGTTCCGTCCAATCCATAGCAACACCTTGAGGTCCTTCTCAAAGAGTGGTTCACACAAAGGGACAAAAGGGACAAGCCTGTGGCCTCTCCTCTCCAGGTCTTCAGGTTGTTGCCAGGGTCGACCTCAGGGCTCAGTCTGTACTGATCCATGTTGCAGATTCCAGAGGCCAGGGATGCAGCCAAGGTCTCAAGCTGCCACCTGTCAGTCATGCTTTCCCCTGCATGCTCAGCCCAGGATTTAAACATGGGGGATTTTGCATAATATCCAAATTTCCAGCTTCTCTTGAAAAGCAATTTGGAAAATGTCAACACTGAGTTCTTGTTGCTAAATGGTCCAGCAGCAGGGAGTGTCAGCAGCTCCTCCCTAAGGGGGAGCCTGAGCTCCTTGATTAAATACAGCCCCTCACCACCCCACCCCTTCTTTTTCTCATTTAATCTGCTTACTCTTTTTTTGGGGGGTGGGGGTGTAAGGTGTTTTTTTTTTTTTTTTTGGTACCTGGGATTAAACCCAGGGGTGCTTAACCACTGAGCCCCATCCCCAGCCCTATTTTGTATTTTATTTAGAGACAGTGTCTCACTGAATTGCTTACGGCCTCGCTAAGTTGCGGAGGCTGGCTTTGAACTCAAGATCCTCCTGCCTCAGCCTCCTGAGCTGCTTGGGGATCACAGGTGTGTGTCTCTGCACCCAGCCCCACTCTGCTTATTCTTCGGTGCTTCTCAAACTTTTCTCTGCAGATGAAGTCTTGTTAAAATCCCAACTCTGATTTGTAGGTCTGGGTGACTCCTGAGAGTCTGTGTTCCTAACAACATCAAGGATGTCCATGGCTGCTGGATCAAATTTTAAATGGCAAAGCCATAGATGATTTGAGTTCTCAACCCTGGAAAGTTTCAAGGGCCATCTCTTCCTTGTGGTTTTGAATTTGCATCATTGAAAAAAATGCATTCATTGCCATTTTATTATCTCATTCATGCTTCACCATTTATTTCTAATGTTTTATTTTATTTTATTTTATTTTTAAAGCAAGCTGGATGTGATCATGTTCTGAACTCAAAAGCCCGGAGAGATAAATGTGGGGTTTGTGGTGGCGATAATTCTTCATGCAAAACAGTGGCAGGAACATTCAATACTGTACATTATGGTAAGAATCTGCTTCTAAGGATTGTGAGAAGGAAAAGTTTAAAAAAAAAGTTGAATTGTACATATCATGTGAAAGTATTAATGTCAAGCTTAAAATCAATCTGGTTACAGTCCATTTTCATCCATCTGGCCATAGGCACCTAATAGTGACAATCACATTTCCTTGTGACCCACCTTGGCTTCCATTCTTAGAGAAAGTGAACCACTGAATTTTTGTTAAATTCTTTTCAGGTTACAATACTGTGGTCCGAATTCCAGCCGGTGCTACCAATATTGATGTGCGACAGCACAGTTTCTCAGGGAAATCGGAAGATGACAACTACTTGGGTGAGACGGGGTGCCCTGCCATTTTCTACAGACATTCCGGTTTTCTGGGGCAATTGGCACAAACTCCTCCCTCCTCTCTGACGCCTTCTGATGGGTTTTCATAAAAGCAGTTGATCTCAAAATTCATTATTTTATTTCACACTCATACGTAACACCCTCAGAATATTGATTCAGGGGTTAAGTGGTTGCCCCGTTCAATATCAAGGGATTGACTCTAGATTTTACAAAATAGATAGGCTTCAGGTCAAATTCTGAAAGGACTTACCCTGGAAGTTTAGCATAAAAATCATTGGTCTCCTTGAGGCTTTTGAAAAATCTTTCCTGTGGGTAATTGACTTGCAAATATTTTATTAGAGGTATTACTTGACTTAATGTTTTTTTATCAGCTCTTTCCAAGTGCAGAACATTGGGGGGGGCTATTCAATATTTTATTATGCCTGGTCATTCCAGAAGATTCTGTAGCGGCACATATTTTTTCTCGAGTCATTACTAGAATAGCTAACTTTGTTGCTTTACAGATTCTTCATCCTTCTCTCTGGATTAATTCACTTTTTTTTTTCCTGTACTGGGAATTGAACCCAGAGGTGCTTAACCACTGAGCCCCATACCCAGCCCTTTTTTATATTTTATTTAGAGACAGGGTCTCCCTGAGTTGCTTAGGGCCTTGCTAAGCTGCTGAGGCTGGCTTTGAACTTGTGATCCTCCTGCCTCAGCTTCCCGAGCCCCAGGGATTACATCGTGCACCAGTGTACCCAGCTTAATTCACAATTTTCCTTATATTTAACCACACCATTAACTTATGTCTATTTCTTGCATTAAAGGCACAACATGCCAAAGACACTATGTTAATTTTTACCTGTTTTTCCCCACCAGCCTTATTTCAATTAATTATTCTATAAACTGCCATAAATTGTTATAAATTTACCCAGTTGCCTTTTAAAAGAAGGACCTGTGGGAGAGCAGAAAGACTGGAAGGGATCCCATTGGTCACCTTGCAAGGCTGGTCTCTTCCTAGCCATGCCTTGTACCTAGGGAAGAAATCAGGCAGGCAATCTTGCTGAAAAGCCAGTTTTTAAAAGCAATTAATATACTTTCTCTCCAATGGTGTTCAGGCAGGAATTTATTTATCCATGTGAATTCAGCCTCTCTAGAAGCTCAGGCCAAGCACTTGGACGCACTGAGCTAGTAAATGAGTATTTGTTGAATCAAATTAAAACCTACGTCTGTGTTTTGAGATGTCTCCATGAACCTGCACATTGATAGACAGAACCCATCCGCCGAGCTCACTAATCAAGCATGATATTCGTGCCTGATTCCCTGATAGTGTTTTCTGCTATGGATCTCCATTTATTCCCTTATTTAATAAGCACCCACGTTATTTTAGGCACAGTGAACAAGAGAGTTAAAAAAAAAAAATCTGTTTCTTAGAACCTGTATTTCCATGGGAGAAGGTAGACAATAAAGAATAAGTTAATAAACGAACACGGATGTAAGTATTTATAGTATATAATAGTATGAAGGTGATGCGTGGGATTAGAAATCAGAGCGTGATAAGGGAAATTGGGATCTGAAGGCTGGGTGGGAGGGCAGGAGTGTGGCTCAGTAGCAGAGCTTCTGGCTGGCCTGCATGAGGCCCTGGGTTCAAAGTAAAAGGAAAAAAGAGAAAGAAAATCAAGGATGAGACTGAAATGTTTGGAGTGGAGGAAGACAGAGAACGCGCTATCTTGGGCAAAGAAAGACATTCTAGGCAGTGCGGGGGGAACAGCCCTTGCAAAGTCTTTGAGGCAGGCTCGTGCCTAGGTCCGTGCAGAGCACACAGGGGCCAGTGTGACTGCAGGTGGTGGGCAGGGAGGGGAGTCCGAGGTGGGGAAGCAGGTAACAGGACTAGACCATTCACCCAAGGCCCTTGTGAGGACTTGGGCTTGGACTCTGAGAGACCTGGGGAGCTCCCGAGGGTGTTGCATCAGGGACGATGGATGTAATCACACTTAGGCTGTAAGGAGGACTCTGGCCATTACCGTGCTTGTAGTTGATGGGGCAGGCACGTAGGGTAGAGGGTGGCCTGGCTTAGGGAGTTGCTACAAAACTCCGAGAGAGAGATGCTCATGGCTCTCCCCGAAGCAGGAATGTGGAGGTGGACCTATGTGGTTAGGTTCTGGGGACATTTTAGAGTTCAAACCATCATGACTTTTTTCTTCTTTTTTTTGGTCCCAGAGATTGAACCTGGGGTGCTTAATGACTGAGCACGTCCCCAGCCCTTTTTGTACTTTATTTAGAGACAAGGTCTCACTGAGTTGCTTAGGGCTTCACTTAGTTGCTGAGGCTGGCTTGGAACTCACCATCCTCCTGCCTCAGCCTTCAGAGCCACTGCAATTACAGGAGTGTGCCACCGACCCCAGCTAACTGTGATTTGTTGATGGATTAAATATGCAGGTACATGGGAAAAAATAACCGAAGATGTCTTGGAATCAAAAGGGATCAAAAACTCTCGGGTTTTGACATGAGCAATGGAAAGGAAGGTGTCATCCTCCACTGAGATTGAGATTTGGAACTTATTTGTGCATGTGACTACCAGTGTTTTAGGTCAGGACTGTGTCTTTGCATCTTTGCTCCCAAGACAAAGCCTATACATGATAGGTGCTTAGTAAATGATTGCTGAATTGTTCAACAGGCATCGCTCCTACCGTGAGCTTCATGGGGAATAGAGCCACCTTGGAGATATTAGATTCATTTCTTCTTCTAAAGACTATAAAAAAATCTTCCTTGTAATTAAGCGTTCTATCGATGCCTCAGGTTTTTGCCACCCTAAACACCCAACAGCTGGCAACATTATAGGAAAATGAATAAGCCAGATGCAGGGTGCACACTTGTAATCCCAGAGTCCTAGGAGGCTGAAGCAGGAGAATTGTGAGTTCGAGGCCAGTCTGAGCAACTCAAGGAGACCCTGCCTCTAAATTAAAAATAAAAAAGGGTTGGGGATGTGGCTCAGTGCTTAAAAGTGCCCCTGGGTTCAATCCCCAGAGCCAAAATAATTAATTAATTTAAAACAAAAAGAAAACTACCAGGGTGAGGGGTATAGCTTCATGGTACAGCACGTGCTTAGCAGGCACAAGGCCGTAGGTTCAATCCCTGGCACCACAGTTATAGCAAGAAATCAAATAAGACAATGGACAAAGTTCTTGAAAACCATTTTCAAATGATATTTTCAAGGATTTCTCATTTTACCATGGTGCAAAATGGGTCAAAGAGTTTTCTCCATGTATTTGGTTATAAATTTGTGCCTGTGACTGTGACCTTCCTACTTCCTAATTAAATCAAGCAGCGCTGCACTCAGCTTCCTGGGGAAATTGAATTCCTGCTAGCTGAAAGCCATGTTGAGCTGTTTCTTTCCTCTCCTCCAAAGGAAGAGGATTCTCTTCTCTCCTCCTCCTGTTTGGGAAAAATGATCGCTCTCCAATTAAGCAGCCTCAATTCCGTTCAACTCAATCAGCCCGTGTCAGGTGTTGGAATTTGGGGTGGGCCTCCAGAGAACCTCTTATTCATCACCGGAGGATCTTAATCTCCTTGCAAAGGATGAAAACAAAATCAAAGAAGATCTGTCATCTGGAACAGGCAGCCCCAGCCACTCGTGGCTCTTTAATGGAATAGTAGGAGAATGTCCCTTGATGGCCTAAGAACAGTCTCTCTGGACACCAAAGTGCCCAAGCACAGATTTGGAGACACAGTCCGTCGAGTGTGAAAGCGGAGACCTCAGAGCCTTTGAACCTCACAGAGGTGTCTTAGAAGGCAGGAATAATTTGATGTCATCAAGGCTGAGGCTTGGAAATTTACCCTTGGTGTGGTGGAGGGGGACCGCAACCCACGCATGCACCCGTCTCTCGGCTCTTCTGTTGCTAAGCGATCTTCACCCTGATCCCTGGTTGTTTTATCAAATCAGTCCAGCCAGGCGCTTCCTGTGTGTTTTGATGAGGGAGCAGTTTCCAGAAGACAGCGCCTTTGTGGCAGTCAGGTTCTGATGGGTGCAACGGGGAGGAAAGCCCCCAGGAAATCAGCTCTCCTAATCGCATTAGCGGGAGGTGGAGCAGGAGGCTCTGATTTTCAGGAAACTATTTGTTTCACAAGGTACCGAAGCAGAAAGCCTCCCAGTCAAAGGTGGTCCTTGCACATAGACCCCTCCCTGCCACGGGGTGAAAGCCAAGTTGTACGGCCTCACCGTGTTCTGAGCCTATCCCTTGGGGAAGGTGCTCATTTCTTTTTGTCTTTTTTTTTGGGGGGGGGTACCAGGAATTGAGCCCAGAGGTGCTTACCCACTGAGCCACATCCCCAGCTCTTTTTTATGTTTTATTTAGAGACAGGGTCTTGCTGAGTTGCTTAGGGCCTCGCTAAGTTGCTGAGGCTGGCTTGGAACTTGCGATCCTCCTGCCTCAGCCTCCCAAGCTGCTGGGATGACAGGCCCTTGGCTAGCTGTGGCAGTATGAAAACAGAAACGGATTCAGTGAAAGATAAAGCAGAAATTTTCTTTCGCTGGATGGCTTTACATATACCTGGGACAGAGCCATTTACCAGAGCAAATCCCAGCATTCCAGCTCCTGGCCTCTTCTCCCTTCCCTGTGAACTGGAATAAGAAACACGAGGTGCAGGATGGCATCCCTCTAGGTGGGCGAAATTAGGAGAGGAAGCCAGGTTAACCTTCGCCGGCACCGCCGTGCGGTGAGCATTGACAAGGCTCCACTGTGGCTTCCTTGGCGGGACTGGCATGTGACATTCCACTTCCCCATCTCCAGTGAAGCGTCAGCGGCATAGCCAGCACGTAACTTAGCTTGAAAGAATTAGGTGATTTGGTTGACAGCACATCATGCCGTCACCATGTAAGTGACCCGCTTGAGGGAACAGCCCCAGGACACCCGAGGTGCCATGGAAACCACTGTCCGGTCAGTGACCCACTGGAGCTCCGGCATCCTGCATGGCAGGTGGGCCTCACACTGCACGGGCTGCAGGCGAGACAGGGCTGCCCGAGGGTTACACCAACTGGGGACAGTCACTGGGCTGGAAGCACTCTGTTCTCCCTGTCACCAGTGTCAGGTTCAATCCATCACTTGCTCTTTATTATTTTTTTTTCCGGGTACCAGGGATTGAACCCAGGGGCCCTCGACCACTGAGCCCCATCCCCAGCCCTAGTTTGTATTTTATTTAGAGACAGGGTCTCACTGATTTGCTCAGGGCCTCGATTTGGCTGAGGCTGGCTTTGAACTCACGATCCTCCTGCCTCAGCCTCCCCAGCAGCTGGGATGACAGGTGTGTGCCACCACTTCATCAGTAGCACACCTACTAAGGGTAGGGATCTTTCTTGGGTTTACAAAAGCAATTTTTAAAATGATTTCTTTACTCCAAGGCATAGGCTGTCTAGCAAGACCCACTATTTAAATTTTTTAAAAGCTGCAGACCTAAACAAATTTGATTTCCACTTGTAAACCAAGAAAAGGATGCATAAATGCATTCATTGAACATTTGCCGAGGCCCTTTTTGGAAAATGTTAGTGGCTCCCAAATTCTGGAGAGAGATTTTTCATGATTAGAAGCCACCTGGCCTCGGGAAGTTAATTTAATACCAAGTCAGGCCTGTTTCTCCCTTAAGTCAGGAATAGCAGGTCGATGTCTCGGAGGTGTGGTGAGGGGACTGTGCGTGGGAATCCATGATGACCTTCCAGGTTAAATGGCCCCGAAGCAGTGGATGACGGAAGTAGAGGGCCAGCTCCCTAAAAGTGAAACCAATGTTTTTCCACAAATAGAGGGAAAAGATATGGTTGGAATTTTATCTTGAGAAGTAAATCTGAAAGCATGCAAATAAGATTCTTTTTAGCTCATATTCAACAAATAACATTTTAATTGGAGTCATTCTGAGTGTTTTAGGTTGGAGATCAAAAGCCATCAGTACATATATATCTGTAAGTTTTGCAGTCAGTTGTAATGACAAGACAATAGTGCCTTCTTAAAGAGTGACATGGAGCCTTTTTATTTTATTTTTGGTACTGGGGATTGAACCCAGGGGCACTCAACCACTGAGCCCCATCCCCAGCCCTTTTTTGTATTTTATTCAGACACAGAGTCTCACTGAATTGCTTAGGGCCTCTCTAAGTTGCCGAGGCAGGCTTTGAAATCACGATCCTCCTGCCTCAGCCTCCAAGCTGCTGGGATGACAAGAGTGGGCCATCACGCCTTGCTTGCCATTTTGATATAACTCTTCACTGTGAAATAATCGTCAAAACAGGATAATTTACATGTTTTAGCATAGTGACCATTTCCTTACCTTTATTTGTGCATGTGCACATCCAGCTGGAAATGACACTGATGACCGACCCTCTGGACTCATTGTCACCGTGCAGTACATCAGATCTGCAACATTTGTTTGTCTTTGAACCCTCTTCCCATTCCCCCTCCTTCCAGCCCCCTGTAACCACCATTCGACTGTCTGATTCTCTGAGTTTCATTATCTTAGTTTTCATCATTGCTTCAATTCAGCCAGCTCCTCATCTGGCCAGTGTTTTAGCACTTAATCCATTCAGTTTTCCAATTCTACTTCTTCAACTTCACTGATTCTTTTATCTTTTGCAAGAATTGGGGAACATTCACTTAAAAAAAAGAAGACTTTAGTGAGCACCTGCTATTTCCCCTTAAGAAGCACAGTAGTAGTGGGTTGTGAGACAGTGTCCACCCTCACCCCTGGGGGGCTCCGATAGTTGTGCAGAATCAAAAGGCCATGGAGAAAAACTAGGATGGGAAAAGGGATGGAATCTGTGCTGACCCTGAGTGACATTTGCAGTTTGGAAAAGAATGGTCCAGGCAGGTGTCTGGGGCTGCTAACATGTGACGAGTTATCTCAAGACACAGTGTGACATCACAGGGTAGGAAATGTCTCTGTTTCTCACATCGGGAATGTGGGAGCAGTGAAACTGGGTGTTTCTGGTTTGAAGGCTGGTGTGAGGTGACGACATTTAGGGCTGTGGTCTCATCCGACGGCTCCCCTGGGGCTGGAGGATCCGCTCCTGGCTGGCTTACACTCCTGCAGTTGGCAGAAGGACTCAGTTCTCTGAGCTTCCCCAGGGTGTTTGCAGGAACCTCAGCCTGGGCATCCTATCACCTTGCAGTTAGCCTCCCCTAAAACTAGAGATCGAAGGAAGAGAGAGGCCAGGCATGGTGCACAGGCCTCTAATCCCAGCAGCTCGGGAGGCTGAGGCAGGAGGATCACAAGTTCAAAGCCAGCCTCAGCAATTTAGTGAGGCCCTAAGCAACTCAGTGAGACCCTGTCTCTAAATAAATACAAAATAGGGCTGGGGAATGGGGCTTAGTAGTTGAGCACCCCTGGGTTCAGTCCCTGGTTTTCCCAGTCATTCTTGTTGGGTGTGGGACGGTGGGGGGGGGGGGACACAGGGTGACTGCCTGGAGAAAAGGATCCCCAGGGCCACATGTGAGGCTGGCCGCCACCCTGGGCCTCATTGGAAAGGTGGCACTGAGCATCATATTGTGTATTTGCAGGTACCACCATTTGTCAAATAGAGGTGACCCCACAAAGACTCAGCAGGCTCAAGTAATGAAGGCATACATCAAGTGTGCCTGTGTGGGAGGGGATCGCTCGCAGACCTTCTCCATGCACGGCTACACATTTTCAAATCAAATGAAATACACTGGCTTCCATCTGTGGTCCTGTGACTGTGGGGCTTCTTCAGGGAGCCCCAGGCTCACCAGATCCCTGTATTCTGTTTCTCTTAGTTTTCTCTATTCCACTTGGTTTCCATAGTCACCATCAGGAGTAGATGTTTTACCTCCATTTTAAAGAAATGGAGTCAGAGAGGGAAAGTGGATTGCCTAAGGACACACAGCTGGCATTGGGCGAATCAGGAATGTGCTCATGCCTGTGGGGCTGCAAAGCCCCTGATCTGTGGACTCTCTGCCTGTCAGGGTGGGATCTCATTTTCTTTTTCTTTTGTTTACTATTTTTTATTTGATCTTTTTAGGTATACATGGCAGTAGAGTGTATTCTGACCTATTATGCATACATGGAGTCTAACTTCCTATTCTTGTGGTTGGACATGATGTGGAGTTTCCCTAGTCGTGTGTTCACATATGAATATAGGAAAGTTCTGTCCCATTAATTCCACTGTCTCTCCCATTCCCATCCCCCTCCCTTCCCTTCATTCCCCTTTGTCTAATCCAGTGAACTTCTATTCTTCCCTCCCTACTTCCAATTGCGTGTATCAGAGAGAACATGTGGACTTTGTTTTTTTTGGATTGGCTTATTTTGCTTAGCATAATGATCTTCAGTTCCATCCATTTACTGGCAAATGCTATCATTTCATTCTTCTTTAAGGTTGAGTAATATTCCCTTGTATATATTTACCACATTTTCTTTATCCATTCATCTGTTGAAGGGCACCTAGGTTGGCTCCATAACTTAGCTATGGTGAATTGATGTGGCTATGTAACTATAGTATGCTGATTTTAAGTCCTTTGGGTATATACTGAGGAATGGCTAACTGGGTTAAATAGTGGTTCCATTCCTAGTTTTATGAGGAATCTCCACACTGCTTTCCAGAGCGTGCAGTCCCACCAACAACGCACGAGTGACCCTTTCCCCCACACCCTGGCCAACATCTGCTGTTACTCGCATTCTTGATGATCGGGGTATTTCAGATTTCACACAAATGCTCCTGGGCAGCGCATCAGCAGGTTCTCTGTCCTCACCCACAGCTTTATCAAGCAGTAAAGGTGAATTCCTGCTCAACGGAGACTTCGTCGTCACCATGTCCAAAAGGGAAATCCGCGTCGGGAGCGCAGTGATTGAATACAGCGGGTCTGACAACGTGGTGGAGCGCATCAACTCCACGGACCGCATTGAGCAGGAGCTGCTGCTGCAGGTAGGACCTGCCCTGGCCACGCCCCTCTCTGGGCTGGGGCTCGGCTGACCGCCCCCTGTCTCACCGCCCGCAGGTTCTGTCGGTGGGGAAGCTCTACAACCCCGACGTGCGCTACTCCTTCAACGTTCCCATCGAAGACAAGCCTCAGCAGTTCTACTGGAACAGTCACGGCCCCTGGCAGGCGTGCAGCAAGCCCTGCCAAGGTACCGCCTGCGGGTTTCCTTTGTGGGGATTCCAAGAGATGATGATGATGATGATGATGATGATGATGATGATGATGCTTTTTGGTACCAGGTGTTGAACTCAGGGATACTTGACCACTGAGCCCCATCCCCAGCCCTATTTTGCATTTTATTTAGGGACAGGGTCTCACTGAGTTGCTTAGGGCCTCGATTTTGCTGAGGCTGGCTTTGAACTCACGATCCTCCTACCTCAGCCTCCCCAGCCCCTCGGATTATAGGCATGCACTTTTATATATGAGTTTGGTTTATTTCCCTTAACATAATGATCTCTAGTTCCATCCATTGTACTGCAAATGACATATTTCATTTTTATTTATGGCCAAATAAATCTCCCCTGTGTATATAGACCATATTTTCTTTATCCATTCATCCACTAGTGGACACCCAGGCTGGTTCCATAGTCTGCCTGTTGTGGATTGTGCTGCTGTAAACTTGGCTGTGCATGTGTCACTGTGGGAAGATGACTTTAATTCTTCAGGATAAATACAGACGGGTGATAAATTTGGGACCTGTGGTGGTTCCTTGCCTAGTCTTCTAAGGAACCTCCATACGGATTTCCACAACAGTTGTACCCATTTAGGATCCACCCACAGTGTGAAAGTGTTCCCCCCGCCATTCCTCTCCAGCACTTATTATTTGTATTCTTGGTGACTGCCATTCTGACTGGAGCTACATGAAATCTTGGTGTCATTTTGGCAAATTCGGGCTATGCTAGGTTTTCTTATCTAAAGAGCTTGGCACATAGGCACATAGCCAAGCAAGATCCACTTGCCACTTTAATTTTTCAGAGACATGGTTTCAGTAGTCGCATACTCTTGATTTTTTTTTCTTTTGCTAAACTAAGGTCAGCAAACTACAGCCACAGGGCCAATTCCAGCCTGCCACCTGCTTTTATAAATAAAGTTTTATTGGAACACAGCCATACCCATGTGTTTATGGATAATCTGTGACAGCTGTATTTTCTGCCCTGTCATGTTGAGACGTGCTATAGAAATTGTGCTGGCCAACAAAACTGAAAATATTTATAAGCTGGTGTTCTCATAGAAAAATGCTTTCCAGACCTTAGTCTAAGTAGGATTGTGTGCTCTGAATAATTTTTTTTGTCCTCTTTGCTCAGGGGAGCGGAAACGGAAACCTGTTTGCAGCAGGGAATCTGACCAGCTTACCGTATCAGATCAGAGATGCGATCGGCTGCCCCAGCCAGCACCCATCACGGAAGCCTGCGGCACAGACTGTGACTTGAGGTGGGCCCGTGTGCCTCCTGCTCTTTGATGCTGAGTGAAGAGGGTCTTGCGGGGAGTCTGGGCATGTGGATCAGAAGGAGGGGGTGTTCAGCTTTAATCCTTCTTCCTATATTTTGTGAGATGAGCTCTAGCCAGTTCTCCATCCGTTAGATCCTATCATCTAAGACACATGTCAGTGGATTTCTTGTTCTCCTAAGAATTAAATAATGAGTAGAGTGTGGCACTTGCCAGAAAACATTCCACCTAGATCTTCAGAACTCACTGATGAGGCATTCAAAGTCAGCAAGAGGTGGGGAAACTAGCCGGGCACGCACCTGTCATCCCAGTGGCTCCGGAGGCTGAAGCAGGACGATCAAGAGTTCAAGACCAGCCTCAGCAACTTAGCAAGGCCCTAGGCAATCTAGGGAGACCCTGTGCCTAAATAAAATATAAAAAGGGCTGGGGATGGGGCTCACTGATAAGTGCCTCTAGGTTCAATCCCCAGTACCAATAATATTACTAATAATTAAATTTTTAAAGTAATAATTAAAAGTCTTCAAAACAAAGAGTGGGGGGACTTTATCCCTCTATGCCTGTGATGTTCTGCATCCACTCAGGGCACATTCCACTCAGAACATGAACTCTGAGGCATGCCAAAGTTGCATGGAGGAGCAAGAAGAAAGTCTATTTAGAACTATCTAGATATTCAAACAAAGTATTTATGAAAGCGAAGTCAGAGGCAGGAAGTATTGAATGGGTGGAGAACCCTGAAGCTTTCCTCTTGTCTGCAAGGTTAACAGTGTCCTAGTGAAGAACCTAGGGGTGCCTTGTGTATTCTACATGTCAAATGGATGCAGCTAAGGTGTGCTGCCACCTCATCCCTCTTTTGCAGTTCAGAGATTAGGGGCAGAGTGGTATATGGCTGTGTTAAGGTCTCACCATTCGTAAGCCGAAGAGTGACTACTTGAACATTTTGAAGTTCCCACAGCACTGGACCAAAACCTTCAAGTAGTGCAGGCTTCCTATAGTGCTAGAAGGAATGCAGATTTGGAGGCAGGGAGAGAAGAGTGCTGTGATTGATTAGTAATGCCTGTCATGGGAGTCAAAGTGGAAATTGTGATAAGTGTGCTCTCAGCCAGTCCTGACCTGAGGCTCTGACTTCAAAGACACTACCTTTCCACCCTCACACACTTCCTCTTGACACACTGTTACTGACCTGCTTGCTCATTGGCTTGCTCAAAAACATTGACCAAAGTCACATATTATTGTAAAAAATAAAATAAAATATTAGTCATTAAAAGGTGAGCATTCACACCACAACATTCTTTTTTTCAGCAAGGTAGGAGGTACCAGGGATTGAATTCAGGGGCACTGGACACTGAGCCACATCCCAGCCCTACTTTTTGTATTTTATTTAGAGACAGGGTCTCACTGAGTTGCTTAACACCTCGCTTTTGCTGAGGCTGGCTTTGAACTCATGATCCTCCTGCCTCAGCCTCCCTAAGTGCTGGGATTACACCTTGTCACCATGCCCAATTTAAGATAATATTTTTATTTTTCAGAAGTATCCAAATAAACCCATTTGCTTCAGTCAATTCAGTTAAATTAGAATTAAAGGTCCTTTCAGAAAAAATAATTAGTGGACTAATTGCTGGACTGAATTAATCACTAATGTTTGGCAGAAAAAACTAAATTGGTGCATAGATACCTTGAGATACAGCCTTAATAAATTGAGAAAGGTAGCACTTTCAGGTTAGCCTTCTTTCTAATTATCACTGTGAAAGTCATGGGATATGGTCACGTGTTTTCTAAGAACTATTTTTAACACTTATATGTTATTCTGTTAATAGTCTCACATTGATAGGATAGTATTTATATTTCTTATTGCCTTGTATATAATCTTATATTATCCTATTCATAGACCTAACAGCCTGTTGATTTCTCAAATACCACTATAACACAGGTATCATCACCATTTTACAAATAAGGCTAAGAGAAGTTAAGCAGATTGCCCAAGGTCACACAGCCAGCTAGTGCCACCTTCACTCTGTCAACCTGATGTCAATATAATCATGATTTGTGCTAATTATTTTGGGTACTGGGGATTGAACCCAGGGTTGCTTAATCACTGAGCCACATCCCCCAGGCCTTTTTAATATTTTACATAGGGACAGAATCTCACTAAGTTGCTTACGGCCTAGCTATGTTGCTGAGGCTGGCTTTGAACTCAGGATCCTCCTGCCTCAGCCTCCTGAGCCTTTAAGATTACAGTCATGCACCACCATTCCCAGCTCAAACCAGTGTTTTTGAAAAGCCCTAACAAATAAGTCCTTCCCCAGTGGAGATGCGTAACACTGATCAATACCCTGGAGGCTCTGAGAAGATCTGTAATATCAAAGCCAGTTTAATTTGGTAGTTCATAAAATCATTTAATCCCACAATCCTCACCCAGACACTCCCCTGTCCCCCTGCACAAACACAATCACACATTGTCCCTCAGTTTCCACTTATCGACGGGACATTGGGGGATGCTTTTATGAAATTTACTCATTAAATATAATTGTGTTTAATTTCCCATGAAATGAACTGAATGATCTCAGCACACCGAAGTTAGACCACTGTCCAGAAAGAGAATCTAAGTCATGTGACAGTGTTTGGGAAGAATTTTTCACATGACCTTCCCACAGACTCTGCAAGCCTCTCTGCTGAGATTCTGGACATCGTGTGGACAACAGGGAAATGACTTTGGTTGGGGGCCCGCCTCCTTGATCCTGGATGGAAAACAACCTGTCCCAGAGAGTAGCCAAGATCAAAGTGCAGCTGAAAGTTCCAGATGCTTCTGTTGAATGGGTCCACACTTTTGCCCTCCTTCCTGCAGGAAGGGAGAGTTAGCCCCTGTTAAACTGTGATCTCCAGCCTACTGTCCTTGCCAATGGGCACCTCTGACCTGCTTCTGAGCATCAGTGAGAAATTCCACGACAAGAGTATCATGCAATAATCCTCTCCCCCTGCCCCCGACTCCTTTTCCAAACAGTTGTACATAGAAGAACTGTTAAAACACTGGAGATGAGCAAGCCATCCAATTTCCAAGCAATAGCCAAATTCCAAAAGTCAAATCCAGTGAAGATTTTCAAGAAATCATCTTTTTTGAATTTGTAAATCCAATCAACAAAATTGTATTTCAAGTTCTTTTATTTAGTTTATTCCTGCTGAAGTAAGAGTTCCAAGCCAGCCTCAGCAAAAGCAAGGCCCTAAGCAACTCAGTGAGACCCTGTCTCTAAGTAAAATACAAAATAGGGCTGGGGATGGGGCTCAGAGGTCGACTGCCCCCGAGTTCAATCCCTGGTACAAAAAAAAAAAAAGACTCATTTTATTAATTTTCCTTTTCTTTTTTAATTTAAGCCCTGCTGACTTTGTTTCTAGGGTGTTAAAAGAAACTGACAATTTATTGGTATTTATT